GATTGTCCCTTGTGGGCTAGTAATAGCATACACCGTCGCTGATTGGTGGCATGCACGTTACGATCGGTTGCATATCGCACCCCTACAGTGTATGGAACCACACAAGAGCGGTCTCGTTTTGCTGAACTGCTGCCTTGTCCGCCTTACTCGAACAAGTGTCCGCAACGCTTGGCCGATTTGACCGCGTGGGGTCCAGCTGTTGCAGACGATAGATACAGACAGGTACGTGCGTGCTCGTGGTGAGGGGGAATGAGAGAAGCAGCCATGGAAGTGGAGCTCGCGGTCAAAACGGCGAAGCATTGCGGACAGATTTTCGAGTACCGTATTTGACACAAGATAACACACCCCCTGGACCGATTTTCAAAGCTCGATTTCACCACGACGAAGAGGATGCATAAACGAAACGATACATTTTCGAAAAGCTCTCGACGAGACGGTTTCAACGCCGCCGTTATCGACGCTGTGACTGTTCCTGCAGTTGAGAAATCGAGCTTCAAAAATTGGTCAAGGGGGTGTGTGATCTTATGTCATATACGGTAAGACGGACGAGGGAACAATTCAGCAACGAGAGCACTGCTGTGGAGTAGGTTCTTAGGCGACGGGTACGAGAGCAGAAACACTTTTTCCCAAACGGAACACTGCTGCTGTTTGCAACATCAACATTTCACCACAACGAAAGAAAACACCCCCGAAGCACGAGAACGGAGGCCAAGGGCACGATGAAAGATCGTCGATGTGGATTGCGGTTACTTCCGTTGTGGGCGTCGCGGAGGCGGGCAGGGTCGGGTGGCGAGTGGTGCCGACGCTTCGAAGTACCGAGCACGGCACCACACCCCACCCGACCCTGCTGGTTTCAGCGACGCCCACCACGGACGTAACCACCTTCCACGTCGACGATCTTCCATCGTGCATGTTGCCTCCATTCTTGGCCATGTCGGTAAGTTTTGAAATGTTTCTTTGCCAACGGCAGCAGTGTTCCTTTTGGACAATATGCCCTATTTTCTCTTGCACGTTTGCCACACATGACGAATCGATTCAATGTGGTGCTTTGCAAATGTTTCCCGCTGCTGCTGCTGCTGCTGCTGCGACTGCTGCCACGCGGCTGATGAATCATCTGCTATGCGTGACACGGGCGAAACAGTCTTGTCCGTCTTGAACCCCCTTCGCTACCCCCTGCCCACAATTGCGCTTCCCGTGACGTGCTACAGGTTGTGGACGAGGCCGTCGCCGTGACAGACGGCATGTCCCTTTGCGAGGAGCCTGGATTATGCGCGGTTGCGACCTTGTCGTCTGTGGCGCCGCTCGACGTGGCCGCATTCCGCGTGGATCATGTTCCATCGTGCCCTTGGCCTCCG